GCCCTGGCCCCAAAGTCCACCTTCGGCATTCCCTGGGGACCTTGCTGCTCCGTTCCCTTGTTGTTCTGTTGCACCCCTTTAGTGTTTTGCCTCAATGTGGCGGGATCAGATCGGGCGCAATTCCCACACTGTGCCCCCAGTGTTGTCCCCTGTAGGGCCTTGGGTCAGTGAGGGATGGCGTGTCTTAACAAGAAAGAAAAGCTTGTAGTTAGTTCAAGGACTATTTGGCCTTTAGGAGCGTTTTCCGTTTGAGTCTGATGTGGCGCCAAACCCTGGCCCCAACGTCTATTTTTGGTATTCCCTGGGGACTTCGTTGCTCTATTCCCTCTTGCTGTTCTATTCCACGCCCTTAGTGTTTTGCCTCGGTAAGGTGGGATCATATAGGATGGAATTCCCACACTTTGTCTCCAGTGTAGTCCCCTGTAGGGCTATGGGTCAGTGAGGGATGGTGTGTGTCATAGTGGTGCCGGCCATATGGGCTTTTCTGTGGATTGGCTGCTCTGAGCAGGAATATCATCATCAAGACTTGGTGGGCACCTTCACTCTTAATAATCTCAAATTTACACCAGATTATGTCACTATCACAGTGTAGTTTTCCTTTAGTATTTTTGGGGGTGTTTTTTCGATATGTGTTGTATGCATTTTTCCAAGTCAATAAAACTTGAAAACTTAAATTTTTATAACTACACCATCACTTACTTAGCTTTTCCTTCTGATGGGGGAGGAGGGGGTTCCTTTAATCATTTTATTGGGGGCTCTTACAGTTTTGTTTTTTAACAGTGCTTATAACATTTCATACAACAGTTGTATCATGCATATTTGCACATATGTTGCCATCATCATTTCCAAAACATTTTCTACTTCAGTCTTTGGTATAAGCTTTTCCCCCTTCCCTCCCACCCTCCTGTATCCTTGATCAATTATATATTGCTATTGTTATTTCGTATCTTACATTGCCCATTGTTTCCCTTCACCCACATTTCTGTTATTCATCCCCTTGGGTGAGGGTGGGGGGCTATATAGCCAATCTTGTGGCCATGGAAAAATTTTAAAGGTAATTAGTAATAAATAAAACTTGTGCACCGTGAAGACAAATAATGCTTTTTATGTTTTAAATGGGTTAGTAGGCATTTACTAGCTATAAATTGGGAGCAAGGGTATTTAAGGAAAGAGAATGGCTTAAGCAACAGACAATACTAGAATACATGTGGGAGAAGCTGAGGGAAGGCCTTGTGGGTAAGGGGTTCATGTATGGCAGACAGAAGGATGTTGGTTCGTCTCTTGGCTTGCTGTAGTTCAGTCATGCACTTGTAGACTTTGACTGCTATACAAAGCCTAAATATATGTATTTTCATATGTTAATTATTCATCTCTTAAAACCTATTCATAGTATGTAAATCAAAGCGCATCAGTGTACCCAAATGTGAGCTATCTCCTCGGTGTCACTTTCTCTTTAGTCTCTTCAAGGAGGCGGCGAGATCACTCCAAGAATAAATTGCTTCCTCATTTCTGTTCCCATTGTGCTCTATACAGAGCTGATCTCATAGTATTCTAATTCCTAGTTCCGCTTGCTTGCTAGACGGAATTCTTGAAAGGCAGAGGCCATATTTCCAACATCACTGGTGCTCAATAGAGTTGGGCCTAACCGTTTTTAATCAACTTTCCCTTTTCTCCAGCTGAGGAGGATGAGGACAAAGAAGACGACTTCAGAGCTCCCCTTTACAAAACCGTGGAGATCAAGGGCATCCAGGTGCGCATGAAATGGTGTGCCACCTGCCGTTTTTACCGGCCTCCTCGATGTTCCCACTGCAGCGTCTGTGACAATTGTGTGGAGGTAAGAGCTGTGGGTGGGAGAAGTCCCTGACATTTAGGTTAAGTACCCATATAGTAAGAACTGAATCCTGTAACTGTTGGGTCTTGGTGAGGTACAGTCCTGGTTAACTACGTGGGCTACATGTTCTAAAGCTGTCCAAAGGTATGAGCAGAACAGAGATAGACACATGGGAAGCAGAACGGATCTTCCCGGGAAAGCTTAGACGAGCAGACCTAGGCTTGCTTCCTGGCACCAAGAATCTTGGCTCTGGTCGCATCTTTCTGGTGATACATGTCCTGGCTTTGTTCTCTCTTGCTTCCACAACATCATACTGTTGTATTCACTGTCTGCAATTCTATTTCTCTTCCTTCATGTCCCCCTCATCCCTTTGTCTTCTTTATTTTACCTTCTTTCCCAAACCATCTTAGTCTAAGCAGTTGGCTGCCATTTGTCCCTCTCTTCTCGAGAGTTCTTAACGTTTTTACAAAGTCTTCCATTCCCTTTTTAGAATCCCTTGGTAACATAGGATAAAACTTGAGAGCAGCCTTGACCTTAGACCAACTTCTCAAAAGACTTCTTTACTGGAGATTGATAGAGCAGTATAAACTGCATGACCAGTTTTATTTTTGAAATCTGATCACAATTACTAAAAGCAAAACGTGTCTCTCAGTCTGTCTCTTTTGTGCCCCTAGGAATTTGATCACCACTGCCCCTGGGTGAACAACTGCATCGGTCGCCGGAACTACCGTTACTTCTTCCTCTTCCTCCTTTCCCTGACAGCCCACATTATGGGTGTGTTTGGCTTTGGCCTCCTTTATGTCCTCTACCATATGGAGGAACTCTCAGGGGTCCGCATGGCTGTCACGTATCCTTCCAGTTCTGTGGGTCGGGGGACTGGGAGGGGGAGGGATGAGGAAAGTTGAGTCTTAAGGTAGAGAAAGTCAAAGAGAAGATACTCTGTTCTCCTTGACATTTGGACTTCAGAATGGCAGTGATGTGTGTGGCTGGCTTATTCTTCATCCCTGTCGCTGGCCTCACGGGATTTCACGTGGTGCTGGTGGCTAGGGGACGCACAACCAATGAACAGGTACGGGGAGACGTGATGGTCACCTCTGAAGAGCAGAACTTGTGTCTCTTAACTTTCTATTTAGTGTATAGACTTTGGATGATAAAGCAGAGGTTAGTGGTAGCTGGGTGAGGTTTCAAGTTTCTCCCGTGAACATGAGACTCGAGACCATTTCCTAATGGACAAACATTATTGACTGCCTACTGTATGCTGGATACTTTAGACTCCGAGGTGAGAGAAACAAGACCTCACCCAGCACTCACAAAGCTTATATAGAGACAATTATTTTTGTGCACAATTAAAAAAAAAAAAAATCAAACTCCCCGCCATCACATTAGTTTGAACTCTTAGTGATCCTAGAGGAGAGAGTAGAACTGTCTTTGTGGGTTTCTGAGGCTGTAAGTTGTTATGGGAGCAGAAGCCTCATCTTTCTCCTGCGGAGCCGCTAGTGGGTTCAAACTGCTGACCCTGTGTTTAGAAGTTCAACGGTAGAACTCACTATGATACAAGGGATCCATGCATGTAATAATACTTTATCCTAATTGCTTACTCATGTATGTAATCTTATTTTTCAGTATTCCAAGAGGTGTTCTTATTCTTATTTTACACTATGGTCAGGCAACTACCTGTGTGATAAAAGAGATGTAGAATTCGAACTTAGGACCCTGACCCATACCCTGTTCCTAACCATCACAAGTATGGCAGGACTGTGCTTCATTCATTTTGATGCCCCCCAGATAGTGGATTGACATTGATTACTGTTTTGTGTTTGGCCTTTGGAGGCCCATCTGACCTGGCCCTTTTCCCCTCTCACTAGGTTACGGGTAAATTCCGAGGAGGTGTGAACCCCTTCACAAATGGCTGCTGTAACAATGTCAGCCGTGTCCTCTGCAGTTCCCCAGCACCCAGGTACAACTGCCCCTTTGGTCTAGTGCTTGACCTTGGTGAAAGCATTTGTCTTCTTTGAGCTTCTGGCAGGGAAGAGCTGGTAGGAGGGGCTGTAGGAGGGCTTGCCTGCTAGGACGCTATGCTTTAAAGGGCCTTGAGCCTGCAGAGACATTTGGCCACAGGCCTCGTCTTGCTGTAGTTCTTCATGGAATCCAAGATTCAGTGCTGCATGGATCCTTTTGATAGCACACGTTTCTTACTTAATTGCATATGTAAATATTTTAAAGTGATTGAATCAATGAAAGCCCTCATTTTCTGATACTCAGGTATTTGGGGAGACCAAAGAAAGAGAAGACAATTGTCATCCGGCCTCCTTTCCTTCGACCCGAAGTGTCAGATGGGCAGATAACTGTGAAGATCATGGACAATGGCATCCAGGGAGAACTAAGGAGAACTAAGGTGAGTGTTTAGGGAACAATGTAGGTGATGTGGCGGCTCATCCTTGTGGCAGAGAGGGGACACCTGGCTTTTTGTGGTGCACCTCTGCTTTAGTGTATGTCACTTTCTGGTCTCCACTGAATTGTAAGGTCTCTGACAGTAGAAACTGGTTCCATTCAGTTCTATTGTCTTCCTAGGACTTCCACAAAGCTGCTTCGAGTTGGTAGGAGCTCAATAATGAGTAGTTCATGGTTGAAATGAACAAATACGAATACTAGAATTAAAAATGTTAATGGAAACTTTTTTTAAAATCCAGTACTCTTGTGCCTTACTTTCAAGTCTTTGGCACCCCAGTACCTCCTTTATGTTAGTCATTTTGAGTTGTCCTGAGACGGACTTTTCCCAACCTACATTTCTTCTCCCCAATTTACAGTCGAAGGGAAGCCTGGAGATCACGGAGAGCCAGTCCGCTGATGCTGAGCCTCCACCGCCCCCTAAGCCGGACCTGAGCCGCTACACGGGGCTGCGAACACACCTCAGCCTGGCTGCTACTGAAGGTAAGGCCCATCTCAACCTGAAAGACCCTAAAAGTGACAGGCAAGAGTGAGAAAACTAGAGAGGACAGATGGGCCAGGGTTGGGAGGTGCTGCTTATGTATGTTGTGGCTGGGAGTATCCCTTTGGTGGTACCTCGACCACTTCCTCGAATAGCTAGAAGAAAGGGTCTGCCACTGAGCTACTGGTCAGAAATTGGGCTTTTGTGTGTAAAAGTACTCCTGGACCAGAGAACATCCCAGGACTTGTTAGGTGCTTTGACTTCTCTGCATTCTGCACTTGAGACCCTCTAGCCTTGATTTCAGCAACATTATGTCCCCTGAACTTTCCTTTTGCTGGATGTGATTTCTGTCTACCTTGCCCTTCCCTAAGAGAATGGCTTAACATAGTACCCCGGGCCCTTTGTCCCTGCAGATAGCAGCCTTTTAAGCAAGGACAGCCCCCCGACACCTACCATGTACAAGTATCGACCAGGCTATAGTAGCAGCAGCACATCCGCCGCCATGCCTCATTCTTCCAGCGCCAAGGTACGGAGTCTCCTCGAAGAAAGGGGGTTGTAATGCATGCCGCCTGTGCCAGGC